CATGTCGAATTTGAAAGTAATGAAGCGCCTTTGCACGCGGCTTTGTGTTTCAATGCTAATGACAGCTTAGCGTTGAATGGCCATAAAGACAGCAGCGAGTATGAGTAATGGGAAAGCGAGGAGTCATTTCAATTTCTCATTCCGACGATGCAGGAAGTGCATTGTCGAATCCCAATGGTCGATTCGATCCTGATGGTCGACAATAATTCTTCGAATAGCGTGAGAGCCTCTCTAAAGAGGGGGTGAGGGGGAGAGGGGCGGAATGGTTTCTAGGTTGAGGATTTAAGGAATGGAAAAAAAAAAGAGCACCATAGAAGACCCTATTCGAGGGAATATAGCAATGACGATAAATATACCAGAGAATCGACGTTTTCACGATATCTTGGAGAAACGTTTGGTTACCTTAGAACGAAAAGTGGGTCTGCGCACAGATCCATTATACACCTAAAGCTCGGTGCATCGATAAAAACACTCGTAAGTACCAACGTACTGGAACGCACCCACGTGTCAATAGTCGAAGGTTGCAATTTGTGTGTTCTATGCACTGAGTACCATAAGGGACAGAGATATATCACTTGAATTCCATTTTACTTATGCATAATGATTATTGCAGTACGCAATGCTGGCTTTGATATTAATGACAGAAAGAATTAGTATATAAAAAGTTCTCCAGGCCCAGTAATCCTCTCCCTCGTTTTATCAGTTATTCAGTCTGTCATAAAGGCAGTATTTACATGTGCAATGTAAATACAAAGAAAGAGTGAAAGGGAGAGAAGGGGAAAAAGAGGCAGAGAGAGAGTGAGAGAGAGAGAAGGGGGGGGTGGAAGTAACATCAAATACGATATTTATTTATAGTGTTTTATTGGACACGACGTTATCTCTCCGACTGCACATTGCAAGTTGCAACTGGCAACGTGCCATGGACGCTAGCACGTTGCACTTCTATTTAACTCATCCCACTTCTCATTACGTTTCGCATATTCCTCAATGCTGCACTTATATATACATACACACACATATATATACGCACAGATCGCCTGTAGATTTTGGTAGAGTATATAACGATTAACCTCCCCGTACAATTTCGCTGAATTAATTATAAAAAAGAAAATTTTCAAGGTGCCTCGGAGTGCATTTTATAGCCGAGGGACGGAAGAGCGTCGATTTATCATAATGAGTAAAAACAAAATATCTTTTTCTCTCTCTTGCAAACCGTAAGATGCAAATTGGTAGAATTCACTTGATGGCGACTGCACTCTGCGATGTTTATGATAGCAAACTGACCTTGGTCAATGTGCAACCGATCACAAAAGTGCATAGCATAGGCGTCTAGACTAACGCAATGGAGGAGTATACAGTGACAAGAGTGCGAACAAACCGCTTATCGTTGGCTTTCGGGCGCATTTCAATTGCAGATATCGTCAGGAGTCCGACTAAACAGTCTATTTGTTTAACCTCCAGGTTTCGTGCGTACGATGGAAACTTTTCCGATGCACATTTGCATGGCACCCGTCGCATAAACATCCTCGGACTAATCTTGCACGTCGTCCGCTGACGTATGTATGTATACACATGCGTCGACACGTATCATCCAAAGCCTAGTGTGTGGATCGGATGAATTTTCACAGCGAAAATCGGTGTCGTTCAAGGAACTAGAACAGTTAACCGGAAACGAGACATCGTGACTCGAAGGTCTTCTCAGTTTCAACTGGGCACATTCCATTAAAATTGTTGTATCGAAAAGTCAAGATGGAAAAAAGATACAGAGGATAAAAAACATAAATAAAAGACAGTTCATAGCCATAGGAGATTCTAGAAGGATTCGACGCAGTGGAAATTCTGTAAATCAAAGAACTCAAACTCGGCAGTAGTTGCGCAACATATTATACGAACGTAACGCGTGAGAAACGTCTTTGAGAAAAGTTGACTTTTCATCAAGATCATTCCCTAGCAATACGTACTACTGCACAATGTATAAACGGTGGGTATAACTATAACCGACAGCTGCACTATAAAAATACTCACGATGTATAAAACAACATTGCCGAGTTACATTATAGACGAAAGCATAAATCTATAAATATTAGTCGAGTGCAGTAAAGCTTTTCATTAACGATTCTTCTCATAAAATCTTATAAAAATTCGGTTCCGTCAAACGCTCGCAACTGTGTCAAAGCTCAAATGAAAAGTACACGCGGTATACATATATTCATGTTATGACAAAAAATACAGTAACAAGATTTCATAAAGTGAAACCATGACGTGACCTAACCTATATTTTTAATGGCAGTGGAAAATATATCCACTATTTCCATGATGTATGCTATATATCTATAAGTTTACCAAGTCAATCACGTACTAATCTTCGACATCTTACTACATAGTATCTTAATCCTAGAATGGTCCACTGGGTGTCGCGTACCCCAAACCCAGTGTATCTTTAGCGATTGGATGCGCAAATGTACCGTTCTAGGTTTAATTGACTTAGGCAAATAATGGTCTGGCAAAAGTGTCGTGCGTTTCAAAAGTGTATATTTCAAGAAAAATTATCAGCACTTTGTTGGCTGGAAAACTAACGCGGATGTTCATCTTACGAGGAAGTTCATATTGCTTGTATGTGAAGGTAATCTAACCTAGACTGTACACGTGCAATGGGAAACGTTTCAATATAATACTATTACATGCTAGGTACCGTAAATAGCCCCGTTTGTTCATGAAACTGAGGATGGCAGCGTATAAACGTCCTATAGTATAGGGAGACCTCGTTTCTAAGGCGTGGAAAGGAATCGGGAACGCACGAGGCCGGCTAACGTAAATGCTGCAAGGTCTAAGGCAATTGCAGTTGGCGTCGTGGCCGGGTGCAATGGAAGTGGCCGACGAAAGGAAGGAGGCGTCGCAAGCGGCGGGCCAGCAGTGACGGCAACATAGGGGCAATAGAGGGCAACGCACCCAGTCAGCCTTGGCATGAATTGAGTCTAGCAATGCGAAAGTGAGGTTAGCTGGCAGTGTCGGGCGTAGCTAGAGTATTCATCGTGGTGCCTGCACTGGGCTATCTTGACGGGAGTAAATGTTTTATAGAAAAAAGCGATAGGTCACGATGTATGTAAGACGGAGGAAAGAATACATTTTTAGGGTAAAAAAGGACCGGGAAAAAAAATACACAAAGGAATAGTGGGCGATGAATTATTTCAGAAAATATAGAAAACAATATTTATGCGTTATACTAAATACTGACAATAAGGAAAGTAATATTTTTGAGTTAGCCAAGTTTTACCGCAGGCATGGAAGTATGGTTAAGATATCGTGTTTTTCGGTAAAGTTATGTCATTGACTAATTGTAAGTTGTTTCGTTCTAATTCCCCGTTGCAGGTAAATGCTCTCTTATACTAGTGATAGAAATAATACGCTCTATACTGGTCGTGTATAAATTAAAAATAACATCGTATTAATTAACAGCATACTGCAAATTTGGCTGAACCTTATGTGGATTCAAATTTCTCGCTGTATGTTAACGAACCACACCGTTTTGGCGGACACGTGCGAATGCTTTAAAAACTTGAAATTAGCCGCACGAAAGCACCTAATTCCCATATGTATATATGTATATATATGGTATATAATGATAACGATAAAAATTTTAAAGACATTATAGAAGAACTATTATGTAAAACTAAATAGAAGGCTACATATTCTAACAAATAAAATAAAAATGTTCAATATTGCTAAGGCAACAAAACAAAGTGCACAAGAAAGAAAAAGTATTACCCCCAAAACATTTTCCAGGATCATCGTTTCCCTCGAAAATTGCTTTTACATCCTTTTACATGGTAAATCGACATGTTGCATCCTTTAGATTCTATAGCTGCTGGCTCTACCCACCTGCTCCCCCTACGTTATAGGGTATCCATATCTATACTTATATCGAGGCACGAGTGACAAAGTAAACGAAGAGATGAAAAAGAGAAGCGAAAAAAAAGAAAACGAAAAATAAGGAAAAGGGAAAGTTTACAGGGGAATTCAGCTCGAAGCCTCGGCATTATTTTCGAGTTTCTTCCGTAGCGTTTCAATGCGCACATACGATCTTGTCGAACTAAGCTGCAGCAACGACCAACGCAACTGCATCGGGGCCGACAGAGTTCGAGCGCAGCGCACCGGGAACACGAGATTGAGAACCTGACAGAAAGACAGAGAGGGAAAGAGAATCAGAAGCGTGAAGCAGATAAAGTATACGGGATAGAGCGAGAGGTATATAATGGCAAAGAGTAGGGTAGAGCCTAAGAGAGAGACGTAGACAGGCATAGGCGATGGAGTAGAAAAGAGGGAGAGGAGAGAATGGGAAGGGATCGGATGTAACATTATGAGAGCGAAAAGGAGAAAAGACCTTAAACCAACTAGAGAGAGCGAGAAGGAAGACGCAATGCATTCTAGTGGTGGGGATTGCGCGCTGCTTTTGAAAAAACCGCGAAGCTTTAAGAAGCCGTGTCGAGCCCCCCACCACCGAGTCCAATGCAGGCTTCTATGCCTGACATAGACGAGCGTTGCTTGTCGTTCTATTACCGTAAAATCTACTAGTGTTTCCTGGCAAAACTCTTAGTTCACCTGAAGATTAATAGTAGACTATTTAAGCATTGTATAGTTATTTGGAATTCCCGTGGAAAACTAGTTACCGTTATGCCTTTGTGTCGAGTAGTTGAATAACTTGCTTGTCTGATTATTAGGTTATCGGTGCTGTGTAGATTTTTGTTACATAACGCAACATCCTTGATATACTTCATGATCTTCTTACTTTTTTTGAGGGGG